AAAAACACCCGAAATAACGAATATATTATAAGGATCCCCAAATTCACAAAGTCCCAACGGTCAACTTTCTACTCCATAAGATATGCCACTCTCTGGAATGTTCTTCCAAGTTCTATCCGGAAATGTCGAAACCCAATCGAGTTTAAAATAAAAACTAAGAAATTCCTTTCAAATAACAATACACATTTATAAATAAGATAGGGCATTTTTCAAGTCAATTCTTTGATATCGAATTTTGTCCAAAAAGGCTCTGATGATGCCAACCGCTTGAATGATACCGGAACATAACAATAAAAACAATCGAACTTATGAAAGCCAGCATCATTGATAAACATAGAACAGATAGGAATATTCTTTCTTTCCTCCCTTTCTCGTTTCCATCAGCTATGTCACCGGACGGTAAAAATCCTGTAAGAAGCCAATACTAACATCCCTTTCAATAAAATCCTGCATATTGATTGCGCGAAAGTCTATATTATGGTCATATTAAACATATATACAGCTATATTAGATCATAGTTAACAGTCGACCACTACTCCTATAATGTCACATTCACAAGAAAAATATGATACATGATTACATATTATTTTGGCAGCTTTGATTGTGACTTACCACTGAATAGTTCTTACTCGTGATATATATTCATCTTTTCCAGCTCGTAGTCCAGACAACTATGGCAAGCCTCCGGAAAAACACGAACGAACTGTGCGACCGTCCCTTATCAGCTGGCCAGATAGACTGACAACCGGCAACTAGAAGACACCCAAATTTATTGAACTGCATTGATTGTAAACAAATATATTGATGTGTACTCCAGTTACTGACCGGAAAACCCCAAGGTTTATTTTTCCTAATTCTGTCGATGAACCAACTATGTGTGAATTCATAGGAAATCCCAAAATTGGCTAAGGAAAGGCGTGTCGTTCATAAGCATCACTCATCGCAAAAATTTTCCAAACAGCCGCACAACCCTATAATGTTCACACGTCCCCTTATATGTGTGATTTGTGGAGTACAGGATCTCACCAGTCCCTTCATACCCCTTTCTTGGAATTCCTTTTCAGTAGAAAACATGTGGGAAACGCACAACAAAGCTTCTGTGGAGACCTACAGGACCAGGGATAGTGGGTATTACAAAGGCCACGAAAAGCGTAGCACACACAGCGATAGAACAATAAAACTAAATAATGAATATTAAAATAATAAAAATAATGGGACAATAAGGTGGGCCTAATAAGTAAAAGGCGAAAAAGTTGGTCATGGGAAACACAGCTGGCTGCGAAAGAGGGAAAACGATTAGCTAAAAGGGTCGGAGGCAGGGTTCTGTTGGTTGCCTGAAGTGTTCTTGGGTTTAAAGAGAGAACCTGAGAGAGAAAGTGCAGTTAATAAGGGGTTGGTCCAACCTGAAAGACCGTGATCTCATGACACTTATACCTTTTAAAAACTACTCTAAAGAGGCTGCCGAGATAAACACAATTATGCTGAACACAAAAATGCCGATTTTGCGACGAATAGTCAGCCTGCCCATTAGAAAACTGCCTGGAACTAAAGACCCATTTCCGCATAAATAATGCAAAATGTCGACTAAAATTTGCGCAGCCATTTTTCGTAGAAAACTACAGACATGTATGTGCCGATTTTATGCTGCATAAGAACAAAAAACGTGAATGAGGATTGGATGTGCGCTTGAAAAGCAAAGACTCGGTATTACAGGGACAACGATACAATAGTTTCATTCGATAATATTGAGACTGCAACACCGTTCGCTTTCCGGATGAACACTAGTGGCATCATGAATAACAATGATGACTGATACACTAGGAAAACTGCTGATTTCCGTTCGAAATCCCATTTCGACTTAAAATATATTTAACGCGAGAAAAAAGGACTCAGCACCAAAAAATTTCAACAGAATTGGTTTGTATTAAAGAATGAGGCTCATTGAAGAGAAAATGAAAATCATTTCTGGACACCTTTTCGGAGCAAAAAAGAGTCCTAGAACTGAAGTTTATCGATATGGGATTTCGAAAGTATATGCAAACTCACACTCGAAATTGGGTTCAAATTTGCAGGTATCAGATCGACCGTCGACAAAGATGGTGTTCACCGTGTATCACACAACGTTGTGGGTGGAGGACGGTAAACTGCGTGCGGATTAGTAGATAATGATGGCAAACTTGCGTAAGGCCTGACGAACTCTCTCCTTCCACACCCACCTGATTCGGGTGGCAGGGTAGAGTCAGAACGACCAGTGGCGAGATCGGACGCGGTAGCTGAAAACGTTAAACAACCCGCATACTCGTGTCGTACACCATCTGGTACGCTCACAGTGGACCAGGTTTTCATACTCGGATCCCTTCCAAGTGTGAGCGTCATAATCCTAGGAGGGCCAAGTTATCTCGCCATTTGTCAGCCTTCGAAGCCACGACTTTTAGCGCATCATGCAAGATTGCGACTGGAATACTTGACACACAGTCAAAATCCAGTGCTTATATAATGTCAGAACAGATTGGCGCCAAACCACAAATCACTACGACTGAATGTGATCTTAAACGGTGACAAAGTACCAATCTTAAACTGAACGAAGGAACAGACATAGCATAAGTACTGTCACTTGTTGCGGAATAATGTTTGGGAGGGTTTTGGCAAAACCTAACAAAACACCAAATGAAGAATTCTCCCCGACAGTGGCATTTCCATGTCCTCTACAAGCGTCCAGTCCATGTCCTCTAGTTCGCAGTAGCCCAACACGGGGTGGGTTAGTTTCCAGACAGGCGATTTGAATGACTTAAGCCACGAAGCAATTACCAACATATTTTGTAACCGGTAGTTTGGATGGCCTGTAGACGCGACGCCTTTATGAAATTCGTTTCAGTGTGGAAGACGGAGGTTGGTACTTCAGCGGTCATCACTATCGCTACTACGATGACATGCCACCATAATGAGTTTGAATACCAGCCTTATCCAGTAACGTGAAAGGACTACGTGCTTGGATACTCGCCTGTTGGGGGTCGACCAGGACTACTCTAACTGGAATAGCTGTAAACGAGCTGCCAACTTTTGCTCTATAACTCGTTCTGCCTACGTGAACTTGGACACTCTGTTGAACATTTTGAGTGTAAACGCTGTGAGAGTATTGTTCGTTTTTATTTCGCAAATGATCTACCTTCTTAATATCCCTGTTTTACTTCTTATCTCACGCAGTTTGCATGCCGAAATCGGCGGAAGCCCAACAGGCGGCCACAGTGAGAAATCCTCTCTAGGTGGGTCGGGTACAACTGGATGGCGGTTTTGAGGGGAAGAACGGGCGGGGCAAACGGCAAAGGGCACTGAATGTGCAGTTGGAAGCCGAAAAATGTTGGAAATCGCAGAAAAATAAATATTTGTTTTAATGAAGTCAAAAGTAGGGGGAGGATGGCGCGCAAATAGGGAAAAGCGTAGGCAATGACCAATCGAAGGAGGGCCGACCGGGGACGTGATGTGATTGGCGGCCAGGGCGAGTAAACCTGAACCGCCAAGCGGCTAACCAATGGGATCGTTGGCGCCGCATTTGAAGGTGGTGTGCATTAGGTGGACAGAAAACGGACGATGCGCAAGGGAGACGCGAGGGGACAGCGGTGTACTGCGGTTGGGTAAGAGTCTTTGAATAAACCGCCTATGACAATTGCGTCACTTCCCAGCCTCTTACTGACCCCCTCCTCAACCCCATCCCTATTTGTTAAGTCGGTGATCTCCACCGCATGCACCGTTTCATACGCATAACGCAAACAATGTTTAGGATACCTGGACGTACTCCAACACCACCGCACCAACATACAGCAAGTCGGCAAACTCCCGAACTTGGCGGTCGCTGTTTTACGCGATTTGTAAGTATCCATGGTGAGAGCAGTTTATAGGCCTACGTAACCCTTTTAAGTTTAAATTTATCCGCCGTAGCGCAAATTGGTGGACCAGGCGTCGAAGTACAGGTAGACGAGACGCTCATAAGTCGCCGCAAACATAACAGGGAACGACCGCGGCGGCAGTTGTGGGTCGTAAGTATGTACAATACACGCAGGCGGAAAGCCCTATTTGAGCAGATTAACAACCGCAGCTGGGAGGCCTTGAGGCCCGTCATAAGGTAGTGTTATCGTAACCGATGAGTGGAAGGGTTACACCCGCCTACCGTCCGACGGTTATACGCACTGCACTGTCAACCACCGTAGGGGCTTCGTGAATCCCACAACGGGACGGCATACGAACGCCATAGAGGCCTACTGGAGCAGATTAAAGGGGAACCCTAATAGCAAGCGAGCTCGCCGTGAGCCGGTGTACTTGGGGTGGGAGGTGGGGGGGGGGTATTGGGTCTATAGCCTGCTCGCGGTTTGGATTGGTTCCCGGGTCGGCTGCGCCGGCGTCGCGAAAAGCGCAAGCGGCCGCGCGTAGTTGCACTTGATTATCGATTAGCTTCGGTGCCCGATAGTCCTCTGGCTCATGCCGGTGCCACTTTTTGCTCTCTCACGTTGCAGTGCACACGCCGTGTCTCGCTCTACGCTGACATTGCCTACCCTAACGGCCTTTGTCTTTGTGTTCCCTTGTGTCTCCTTTTACTCACAGTTATGTTTACTCCTGTTAGTAGGCGCAAAATACGGCGTCAAGCCTACCTACTGGGAATGCAGCCGTTACCTACTGGCGATGGGAAAGCTGGCGATTGAAAAGAGCCAACCATCGACGATTGGAGAAGCTAACCAACGAACGCGCAGACGGAAGACTGGAAGGTATGACTCTGTACTTCGTCCACTTACTCTCCATGCCTACTTACAGTGCCTGTGGCCGTTACCGGCCGGCCAAAGAGGGTGCTGTCGAAGGAGGAGAGCCAACCATCGGCGATTGGAGAAGCTAACCAGCGAACGCGCAGACGGAAGACTGGAAGGTATGACTGTGTACTTCGTCCACTTACTCTCCATGCCTACCTACAGTGCCTGTGGCCGTTACCGGCCGGTCAAAGAGGGAGCTGTCGAATGAGGAGAGGCAACCATCGGCGATTGGAGAAGCTAACCAACGAACGCGCAGACGGAAGACTGGAAGGTAAGACTGCGTACTTCGTCCACTTACTCTCCATGCCTACCTACAGTGCCTGTGGCCGTTACCGGCCGACCAAAGATGGAGCTGTCGAATGAGGAGAGCCAACCATCGACTATTGGAGAAGCTAACCAACGAACGCGCAGACGGAAGACTGGAAGGCAAGACTCTGTACTTCGTCCACTTACTCTCCATGCCTACCTACAGTGCCTGTGGCTGTTACCGGCCGGTCAAAGAGGGAGCTGTCGAATGATGTGAGCCAACCATCGACGATTGGAGAAATTAACCAACGAAGGCACAGACGGAAGACTGGAAGGTAAGACTCTGTACTTTGTCCACTTACTCTCCATGCCTACCTACAGTGCCTGTGGCCGTTACCGGCCGGTCAAAGAGGGAGCTGTCGATTGAGGAGAGCCAACCATCGACGATTGGAGAAGCTAACCAGCGAACGCGCAGACGGAAGACTCGACAGTATGACTGTGTACTTCGTCCACTTACTCTCCATGCCTACGTACAGTGCCTGTGGCCGTTACCGGCCGGTCAAAGAGGGAGCTGTCGAATGAGGAGAGGCAACCATCGGCGATTGGAGAAGCTAACCAACGAACGCGCAGATGAAAGACTGGAAAGTATGAGTCTGTGTACTTCGTCCACTTACTCTCCATGCCTACGTACAGTGCCTGTGGCCGTTACCGGCCGGTCAAAGAGGGAGCAGTCGAATGAGGAGAGCCAACCATCGACGATTGGAGAAGCTAACCAGCGAACGCGCAAACGGAAGACTGGACGGTATGACTGTGTACTTCGTCCACTTACTCTCCATGCCTACCAACAGTGCCTGTGGCCGTTACCGGCCGGTCAAAGAAGGAGCTGTCGTTTGAGGAGGACCAACCATCGACGGATGGAGAAACTAATCAACGAAGGCGCAGACGGAAGACTGGAAGGTAAGACTGTGTACTTCGTCCACTTACTCTCCGTGCCTACCAACAGTGCCTGTGGCCGTTACCGGCCGGTCAAAGAGGGAGCTGTCGATTGAGGAGAGCCGACCATCGGCGATTGCAGAAACTAACCAACGAACGCGCAGACGGAAGACTGGAAGGTAAGACTCTGTACTTCGTCCACTTACTCTCCATGCCTACCAACAGTGCCTGTGGCCGTTACCGGCCGGCCATAGAGGGAGCTGTCGATTGAGGAGAGCCAACCATCGACGATTGGAGAATCTAACCAACGAACGCGGAGATGGAAGACTGGAAAGTATGAGTCTGTGTACTTCGTCCACTTACTCTCCATGCCTACCTACAGTGCCTGTGGCCGTTACCGGCCGGTCAAAGAAGGAGCTGTCGAATGATGTGAGCCAACCATCGACGATTGGAGAAGCTAACCAACGAAGGCATAGACGGAAGACTGGAAGGTAAGGCTCTGTACTTCGTCCACTTACTCTCCATGCCTACCTACAGTGCCTGTGGCCGTTACCGGCCGGTCAAAGAAGGAGCTGTCGAATGATGTGAGTCAACCATCGACGATTCGAGAAGCTAACCAACGAAGGCATAGACGGAAGACTGGAAGGTAAGGCTCTGTACTTCGTCCACTTACTCTCCATGCCTACCTACAGTGCCTGTGGCTGTTACCGGCCGGTCAAAGAGGGAGCTGTCGATTGAGGAGAGCCAACCATCGACGATTGGAGAAGC